CCGATCCTTGGATCTCGTCAAACCACCTCCAAGTCTGTCGGAGCTGTTCCAAGCACGACTTCCTAGGTTCTTGACGGCTGCACCTTGTACAGACTTCTTCAAATCGCATGAGCACCTTCCAGCCCAGTTGTTCATGTAGCATATCCGCTTCGACTGTATGATACACACTGGCACTAGGCATTATCTCATCGACTTCACGTTCATCACTTCCCGGAGATAGTCAAACTGTTCTTTTGGCAGTCCCTTTGTCAGTGTGTCTGCGACGTTTTCTTTTGACACCACATACTGCAGAGTTACTTCTTCGAGCTGCACATGTTCTCGGATGAAGTGATACCGCACATCGATGTGCTTCACTCTGGAGTGATGAGACGGGTTCTCTGCAATGGCAATACAGGCTTGGTTGTCTTCATGTATCACTATCGCAGTCTGCTCATACCCCAACTCCTTAAGTAGCTGCCGTAGGAACAATACTTCTCGAGTGCAATGAGCCAAGGCCACATACTCTGCCTCTGCTGTTGATTGTGCCACAATGCGCTGCTTACGAGAGCTCCAGGTAACTGTGCAATTACCAATCATGGTCACATATCCCGAGACAGATCGGCGATCATCCTCACAAGCAGCATAGTCCGAGTCAGTAAATGCTCTCAAGACTACGGAGTCGCCACTGAACTCGAGGCCATGTTCCCTTGTGGCTTTCAGGTACCGAATACATCGTTTTACTGCTTCCCAATGAGATTCTCCGTAGTTTGCCAAGAATCGACTCACATCTTGGAGTGCGAACGCCATATCCGGCCGACTGCCGATCATCTGGTACATCAAGCTCCCTACCGCTTGTCGAAATGGCTTTTTCAACATTTTCGCTGTCGCCTCCTCAGTTGTTGGAGCTTGGAGCTTTGTCAGCTTCTTGCCTGCTGCTGTTGGTGTGGCAACACCAGCTCCGTGCTCCATATTAAACTTCTTGAGGATGGCGTCCACATTGTTTTGCTGGTTTATCCAGAGCTTTCGCGCTTCACGGTCACGTGTCACTTTAAGGCCGAGGATGAAGCTCACTTCACCGAGGTCCTTGGCTTTGAACTCTTCTTTGATTGTCTCTTTCATCTTTGCCATCGTGTTGGTGGTCTTGCACAGCAGCAATAAGTCGTCAACATAAATTGCAACAATCTCTAACTCGCATCTGCTTCTTCGAATGTAGATGCATGACTCACACGTCAACTTTTCAAAGCCAGATCTCACAAGAAACGATGTGAGTGCCTTATGCCAGGCACGAGGAGCCTGTTTCAACCCGTATAGGCTCTTGTGAAGCTTGCACACCCAATCTTCTTTTCCATCGACCTCCATTCCTTGTGGCTGCTTCATATATACTTCTTCATCCAGGTTTCCGTTTAGGAACGCAGTCTCGATGTCCATCTGGTGACATTCGAGATTCTCAATGCATGCAATTGCAAGCAGTACTCGGAGTGACTCGAGACGAACTACGGGAGCAAAAATCTCATCGAAGTCAATGTACTTGACCTGTTGACACCCGATTACAACCAAACGAGCTTTGTGTCTCTCGATACTGCCATCACTGTTGTACTTGACCTTGAACAGCCATCTGCAGGAGAGAGCTCGTTTTCTTGGAGGAAGAGGCATCAATGTCCAAGTCTTATTCGATTTCAGCGAAGCCATTTCTTTGTGGATCGCCTCTTTCCACTCACGTGCATCCGGCCTTGCTACAGCGTCACTGTACGTCTTCGGTTCCGATGCAATACCACAAGCCACAAAATCTCCGACTGTCGTTTTTGCTGCAACATTCTCTAGAGCAACCAAAGCAGCAGCTTCTTGCTGCTTCCGAACAGCATGTAGCAATGGATTTTTGGCGGCAGGTCTCTTGGTAAGCACTTGTGGTGAGATTCCAGACACTATAGTACACGCCTCGCGGTCGTAGTCCCGAAGAACCGGACCCACTTGAGCTAGATTCACCTCGGATATGTCGAACGAGCTGACGAAGTCTTCCAACAAAGCTATATCACGTGACGAAGGCTTGTCTTCCGTCGGTTTCTGACTGTAGAATAGGAGATCTGCTTCGCTGATCGCCGATCTGGTATATCAACTGCACAGTGGGCACTTAACAAACGAAATTCTTGGCGACGCAATTCCTCTGCTGCAGGAGAGAAAGTTTCATCGAACGAAACGTGGCACGATACCAGTATTTTGCCGCTTGAGCAATCCAACATTTTCCAAGCCTTTTGTTGAGGGGCATAACCAACAAATATCCCTCGTACCGAGCGATAGTCGAGTTTTTGACGCTTGTTGGAACGTCCACTCGCTTTGGTCGATGTCGTCACTGTCTTAGTTGGCAAGTACACATACGCCAGCGATCCAAATACCCGTAGATGCGAGACATCAGGTGGAAAGCCATACCAGGCCTCAAAGGGTGTTCGCTGTGTGCTTGCATTCATGGTACGATTCTGGAGGTAGACGACTGACAACAAAGCCTCCGCCCACAACTGTTTTGGCGCATTGCTGTCTATGAGCATTGTGCGCACCTTGTTGAAGAGAATACGAAAACGAACCTCTGCCATTCCGTTTTGCTCCGGCGTGTAAGACGATGTTGTGTGCTGCGAGATTCCATTTAACTCGCAAAAATTCTTCAGCTGGTCCGACAAGTATTCACCACCATTGTCACTGACGATCTTCCGAACGGACCGATTGTGGTGGGTCTCCACAGCAGCTTTGTGCCGTACCAAGCAGTCAAAGCATTCACTACGGTGCTCCAGCAGGTAAACATGGCAATATCGCGTAAATACATCAACGAAAAGAAGAACGTAACGCTTCCTAGTCAACGACGAGACCTCGATCGGACCACAAATATCGCTGTGAACGACGTCGTTGCATTCCAGAACACCAAGTCGCGGCGCCGAAGGAAACGAGCGTCGCTTCTTGCTTCCTAGCTGGCACGCGTCACAGAGACCAGCGTCTTCCGATGTTGATGGAACAACTTTCATGCCCATGATCATTTTCTTGGCCAGCATTTTGGCAAGAACGGACTTGGAAGCATGGCCAAAGCGTCGGTGAGCTAAATCGATCGTGAGTCTAGGAAAAACATAGAGTGCAACCTGTTCCTTGTTCATCGACTTAAGGACGCACACGCCATTTTCGCTCTCACTGGTCAACGTCTTGCTGCCTAACTGTAGGATCACCTTTCCTGGAGTAGTGTGGAAGTCAAAAGCAACCCCTTTCAGCGCCAGCTGAGTCACCGAGATCAAGTTCTTCCGCAGTCCAGGGAGGAAGAGAACATTGGTCAGCTCCAGCTCCTGGAGCTTATTCTCCGAGTCCTTCACGTGGATTGTTACCGTTCCAACGCCTTGTATTGGGGCAGTCGCATTGTTCGCCACTGTCACTGTCCCTCCACACAGTCTTAGGTTGTCGAACATGCTGCGAGTGAAGCAAATATGCTGTGAGCATCCACTGTCAATTATCCACGTGTCATCATGACTGGGGGTTTGGCTCAGCGCAGTTGCAGCTTCTGCACGTTCGGGCTCTGCCACCAACTGCACCGATGCTGACCCCGACACATTTGTCTCGGTCGTCTCAAGCTGTCCATGGAAGTAAGCGCCCGATACATCCCATGCACACAGACGAAGCCAGTCACCAACTTCTTCGTCACTAGACGTTGTAGACATCGTATCTGCAGAGGACGCCGCTGAGTCCAGCAGCTCCGAGACGGTATCGGAGTCCGAGCTGTTAGCCGAGGCTTCGGACAGGTCTCTTGGACTGGTAACCAGTACCGCGAGCCCCCATACTTCCGCAGCCGCAGCAGCAGGGGCATGGTGATCGTCGTGCTCCGTCTTATCAACCACGCGTACAGCGGCATCAGCACTCACGCCACCGTCTTGTTCACTCCGATGGCGTTTCCGCATTGGGCAGTCTCGCTTGTAATGCCCTTCTTGGTGACAGTAGTGACATTCTCCCCCTTTGGAATGACGCCCGTGTTTCTTGTCTCCGTCTTGGCCGCCTGGACCTTCGCTTTTACGTCCAGACCGTCCAAATCCTTTAAGACGACGACTAGTGTTCGGTTTCTGGGACTCCTGTTGCAGTATCGCATTGGCTGCCATGGCTGAGGTCTCAATCATTTGACTCCCAGTCGCAACCCGCCGAGCAGCTTCTGCCATCACATTGGTTTCCATCGAGCTCCAAGATATCGGTGACTCTTGGATGTGGTACATGCTCTTAAATGCGTCCCATGAACTTGGCAGACTGCTGAGTAGCTGACAAACTTTCTCCGTGTCATCAACGGGTTTGCCTTGGTTGGCCAGCCGTCCGGCTAGTGTCTTCAGCTCGTTGATGTGTGGCAGCATGTCTTTGCCATCCTTGTACTTCAAGGTCACAAATTGCTCACGAAGAGCACACAAACTTCCCCAGTTTCTCGGCTCGTACGTTTTCTCCAGCAGCTCAAATATCTCGTACGCGCAGGTCTTGTTGCTCACCGCAATCACCATTTCATCCGACAGCGTTGTCATGAGAAACGCGGTCGCTTCATGCTCCCGGCTCCAAAACGAGTCGACGACGTCAGGACGGGCATCCCGACGCGGAGGGAGCTCCGTGCGAGTCACTATGCCCCAGAGACGCTTGGCTTGGAGCAGTGTCTTGATGCGAGCCTTCCAGGGGGCATAGTTCTTCCCATTGAAGTTCATATCCGAGTTCCACTTCATTGTTGCGTAGTTCAGCGTCGGGGGTCTTGGGCTCATAACCTATTGAACTGAGAAGGCACTTGAAGTGGAAGACGCAGGCGAGGGGAGGTGGCTGTTCTCCCTGAAGTTGTTGCCTCTTAGGTACTTAGCAAAAGCAAAAGTGAGGAGAGCTTTCTTGTCCGGACTTGGGTTGTCCAGAGAAGCTCTCCATCTACCAACCATATAGTCTATCATCCTACACACCAACTATCCCTGAGAATCTGTGTTCTGTGCTATCGCAAGCGTTCACCCGCAGCTTGGTCGCACTGCCAATTCAACACTCTCTCCATGGCTTTCGGATACCCCGCGTCAGGTACGTGCGTGGGCGCCTATGACAAAAGCTACTACGTGATTGCCAGTCTGAACCAGAACGGCTCGGCATCTCTCAAGTATTTCAACGAGCGTTCGTGTTCATCTCGCGACTTGTACAAGACTGATTTCGCGAACAAGACTACACTTGAACAGCATTTGTGCGACGCTAAAGCGTATTCGTGGTACAGCAGCAAAGACGTGGAGAGCTCTAGCGGTAGCAAGCAGGCATCAGCGACTGACCCTGACCCTGGCAAGGGCAAAGGCCCCCACGAAGGTGGACTTAGTACCGCAGGCATTATCGTCATCGTGTTAGGTCTTTTAGCGTTTGTGGCGATGATTGTAGCCGCGACCCTTTTCGTCTACAAACGCAGGATTAATGCTCAGGCTCTAAAGGACACGAAAGCCACAGCTATCGACTCCGACAGAAGCAGTGTCGCCTTGTTGGAAACACCCGGAACCGGACAAACAGGCCTTGGTCGCAGTGTTTTAGGGAAAACCGGGCTCTGGGACGACGACGTTATCACTGCCAAGCGAATTCCCCGTGACAAGGTGCAGACGCAGAAACTCATCAGTCGAGGCGCCTTTGGAGAAGTGTACGCAGGTATCTTTAACGGACAACAAGTAGCCGTCAAGGTGCTGCTATCGAGCACACGTACGAACATCAAGCACGTGAACGAGTTTCTCGCAGAATCCAAAATGAACGCCACGATGGATCACCCACATATCGTGGCTTTCGTCGGTGTGGCCTGGGACTCGCTCTCCGATCTCTGCGTCGTGCTTGAATACATGCACGGCGGTGAACTACGCTCGTTGCTCGACCAGTATCTGAAGTCGAAGCTCCCGGTTGGGTTCAACAAGCAGAAAGCCACCTCTGCGCTTCAAATCTGCCACGCCTTGACGTATCTCCATTCGTTGGACCCACCGGTGATCCACCGAGACCTCAAGTCCCGAAACATTCTGTTCAGCAGCGACATGGAGGCGAAACTCTCGGACTTTGGCATCTCACGAGAAAGACTCGACCAGACAATGACTGCAGGCGTGGGGACATCGCTGTGGATGGCGCCTGAGGTGATGATGGGCGAGCGATACGATGACAAGGCCGACATGTTCTCGTTCGGTGTGGTGCTGTCAGAGCTGGATGTCCATACGATGCCGTATGCGCACGCGAAGAAGGAGACGCTTGAGTCCAGTGGGCGTGCCATGGTGGACTCGGTACTTCTCCAGAAGGTGGCGTTGGGAACAATCCAAGCAGAGTTTTCAGAGGCGACTCCCGAGGCGATTGTGGAACTTGCTCGAGCTTGTCTGGACGTGGATCCGATGAAGCGTCCGAATGCAGCCGAGGCGCTGTACAAGCTTCATGTGGTCTGCAAGCAGTTGTCTTGAGCTGGAACGTGATCAATTTTTAACTTTGACGCTACAATGGAATGTATAGTCTCTCGGGGTAGCGCTCAGCATTTGATACGCTACTTCGAAGTACTTGTCATCGTGACCTTACTTACTGAAACTGCGTGGCCATGTTGCTTCAGGTACTGCGAATTTGTAAGGGTAGTAACTCACGCTGGTAAGATCTCTTTCGATACGAGCGTCAGAACGGGATATGAATATGTAGTACATGTAGCGTGAAAAATAGGCATAGGTAACAACATGCCATAAGATGATGGAAATCGGCTTCATAATCCGATTTAAATGGCAACCACCCGATCGACGCCTCACTCCGAATTCGATTGTCTCCTTTGCCCACTCAACCATTACTACAAATATGCTTGGTTGGGCCGTAGTGGCGGCATTGGCTACCCAAATCGTGCACGTCTCCCAACCTGCGAAGTCATCAGCCTCCAACGGTAGGAGGCTTTGGTCACCGAGGTAAAGGACTCCTACCTCGGTGACCAATGCGACGGAACGCTCCTACGCAGTGTACGCATTCTTTCGACTGCACTGCCACGAAATGCTCACCTGGGGCCAGTAACATCAACGCCGACATGCAGGCCATCGACTAATCTACCGACTACGTTCAGGATCAAATTCCTCGAGCACGAAGAGTGTCTGTCGAACCAATTTCTACAAAGCCGTGTTTCACACGGAAAAGCTCTGGATTTACACAGCTGCATTGGCTTCGTACAGTTCATGCAGTCCTGTATGCATGTAGTGCAAGTCGCACTGCGACCACAAGAAGGATATTGGCGGAATGGATGAATATCATCACTTATCCGACCTTACTTAAGTTTTGTATGCTCCTGAACAGCCTACTTAAGTATTACAGAATTTGAAATTATTTTGACTAATGGAAATGCAGTGACGTGTATTTCCACTAATATAATTGAGTAGGGGTAGGGGGTCATTTAAATTAGTCAACCCGACGTAGGGATACGAGAACTATGTGTACCGGTATGCCTTTTCAAAAACTAAGTGGCGGGCGTATCACTTGCATATTGCAATACATCCGAC